GAATCTCATGGATTACAATTTGCAACTAGATGGATGTACGGTTACTTCCTCTACAGTCAAAAATCTGGGTGTTATATTAGATAGCAACTTGTCTTTTGAAAATCATATTTCCCATGTTACAAAAACGGCATTCTTCCATCTTAGAAACATTGCCAAGTTACGAAACATGATACCTGTTTCTGATGCAGAAAAGTTAGTTCATGCATTCATGACCTCTAGACTGGACTATTGTAATGCACTGCTAGCTGGTTGTCCTGCCTCTTCAATAAACAAGCTACAGGTAGTCCAAAATGCAGCGGCTAGAGTCCTTACCAGGTCAAGAAAATATGATCATATTACCCCAATTTTACAGTCTCTGCACTGGCTACCTGTTAAGTTCCGTATCAGTTACAAAATATTATTACTTGCCTATAAGGCCCTTAATGGGTTAGCTCCTGCGTACCTAACTAGTCTTCTACCACGCTACAATCCATCACGCTCCCTAAGGTCGCAAAACTCTGGACTTTTGGTAGTACCTAGGATATCAAAGTCCACTAAAGGAGGTAGAGCTTTTTCACATTTGGCTCCCAAACTCTGGAATAGCCTTCCTGATACCGTTCGGGGTTCAGACACACTCTCTCTGTTTAAATCTAGATTAAAGACACATCTCTTTGGCCAAGCATTCAAATAATGCATCTCATAATCTTTGCGCCAGCGCAAACCGTCTTTTGGTGTTAGAATCGTACTGTCAGGATTTACTAACGCAATACCAGCTCTAGCAAAACTTCTAGCAAACCTTCATTTTTTTGGCCTCCGGTTCTTTTCAACGTACTGTGGCTTCTTTATTTCTTTATTCTTTATTTGTGACTACGCTAATTTGCGCTGCGCTTGGTATATTGCATTGGTCTGTATGTAAATGAGATGTTGCGTCTGTGTTCTTTAAGTTGCGCATTGTTAGTAAATCACACACAGAAATTTGGAGTTTATTGAGGAAAAGGTCGTAGTTAATGGTTTGTTAATAGCGGGAATTGGACCTTAAAAGAAAGGGTTACCAGATTTTTCCCTTGTGTCCTTACATAAGCTGCACTTTTCTAACTCGTTTGTTTTTATATTTAACTTGACTAATAATAAAAGACATACAGACATAAGGTCTTGATGTTCCTCTCGCTCTTAGAGGATGTGGATCGCAGAAGCCCATGCTACTTTTGAGGTCTGGCACAATCATGACATACAGTACAAAAATACATAGGATATAGGCGCATATGTATTCACGATTAAGCATTAAAAGATCATGATCTCGATTCAAACAGATGCAATCTTATTCCTAAATGACGATGATTCCGATATTTAAACCTTTGAAATCACATCGATATATTTAACAGCTTCACAAACAGTAGGCTACATTTCTGTGTTGCAAACATTAAATAATAACAAAAGTACTGGGATAAAAGTCTGGATATAGACTCCGATGTTGCGAAACTGAGTAACTGACCTTTAGAACAAATGTTACGTTTCAAATAAAGAGATGTAGATGTTACATTATGCCAGTAGGTGGCAACCAGTCACTGGTAAACATGTATTTGATGTCTTCGTTTAAAAACTCTGGCCGAAATAAGTCTTCATTCACTTATTTCAAGTGATTTTTTCCATAATGAATTTATTTAAATTAATATTTTTAAATAGACTAATTTGTTACAATTTAGACATTTTGTCAGAACCTCAAGTAAATTAGACAACAGATTATTTTGTTTGCTTGTCTGCTGTTTTGTTTTCAGAATCATCAGATCTCTATTCTAAAAATCAATTATTCAAAGTCATAACTTAAAAAAATAAATGGCTGTTTCTAATATTAAAATGTAGACTAGTGCGTAAAATGTACAAACTTACAGACTTTTTGTTGTAGTACATCAACAAGAATTTACAATTACAATGCTTCTCATCCAGTGTGAGGAGTTCTGCAAGCCACACCCCAATCACCAATCCCTCCTCCTCCACACACCCCTTTCTTTTGGTTTGTTCTGCGATCCATAATGTCACACGAGTTCTTCACTCACCTTCCTTGGATGACTGCAGCGCTACAGTGACCGTCATCCAGTGGAGCGTCAGCAGAAAGCACAGCATCACGCGTCTACAACACAAACACACACAACAGTTTAACAGTGCACACACACGTGTAACAATAAAACGCACATCACGACGAAGCTTCAAACCTCAACTCTTCTTAGACATGCAGAACTTCAGAGGCACACATGTTTAAAAGCCCTGTGATCTGTTGACAAAGGCTGATGGGAACTGGAAATACTGGAACCTTCATGATGCCACACAGACTCGAATTCATAGCTTTCAGTCATGTGACCGGCTCGAAGACCTGGAGGGCAAAACATCCATAGAACTGCAGCACAAGCCTGTCAACACCCGAGCTGCATCACCACTATTATTACCACCATTAAATAGAGTCTATTATGCCTTACTTTAACGACTGGTTTGATTTCAGAAAACCTGCATCACCTACAACAGCCTGAAATCACTAAACCATTATTTGACAATTAGTTAACTCCGCAAATAACACACAGCTGACATAAACCGATATTTGACTATTAGTTAACTCCGCAAATAACACACAGCTGACATAAACCGATATTTGACAATTAGTAAACTCCGCAAATCACACACAGTTGACATAAACCGATATTTGACAATTAGTTAACTCCGCAAATAACACACAGTTGACATAAACCGATATTTGACAATTAGTTAACTCCGCAAATAACACACAGGACATAAACCGATATTTGACTATTAGTTAACTCCGCAAATAACACACAGTTGACATAAACCGATATTTGACTATTAGTTAACTCCACAAAGTTGACAAAAAACGATATTTGACTATTAGTTAACTCCGCAAATA